AGCAAAGGGTCTGAATACTTATGACCATGTGATATTTCAGTTTTTCTTTTTTAATAAATCTGCAAAAATGTCAAAAATTCTGTGTTTTTCTGTCAATATGGGGTGCTGTGTGTACATTAATGAGGATAAAAATGAACTTAAATGATTTTAGCATATGGCTGCAATATAACAAAGAGTGAAAAATTTAAGGGGGTCTGAATACTTTCCGTACCCACTGTAGCTCCTAGGATCACTCGGGTACTCAAACCCCTCCACCACAATAAGTGTCTGATATGTTTAGAATAATGCAGACGTTATAGGAAAATTGTGGGTGGGGGAAAACACAATAGCTTGAAACTGATATGGGACAGTGATTCTGAATCCTGTAGCCTACATAGAAAGTTAGTTCACTAACCTTAAACTGACTAAATTGTTTTAATACCCTGAATTAATAATCAAATCAGTGTTGGAATGTATTCGTTATCTGTTCTGTATTATTTTAATGTTAATTTATGCTATCTAATCTACTCTGTTTACTATTTTATGTTTCTGTTTACTTTAAATAGAAAAAATAGAAAAAATAGGTCCACTGTTATTGTACACTTATGTATTGGGTTATATATTTCAGTGGTATTGTGTTTTCTCCCATACATTATTTCTTAAAATAGCATATTTTAGTCTTAAACTGTTTATTCAAGAGGGAGTCAGGGGTGCGTATAGTGCACTGACGTTTTCATGTTTTTCTATCAGTTTTCAACCTCAGCATGAGACACGTGACAAAGACCTTGTAAAGCATTAATAATGTGAAGATGTATAACTAGTCTTACTTTCTGGAATCCCAAATTACAGACCAAGTAGTCCAGACGCTGATTGGTTGAAATGAGTAAAACTTTGTTTGATTGGCTATAAGTGTATCATAGAAACTGATTAGTCTACTAAACTACACTTGCTGAATTCAGCCCGTGTCTGTGGTTTGCCTGCAGTACAATTACTATCTTTGGCATACATTCGAGAAAAACATGGCAGCTGACGAATAGAAAAAAGTGGATCTTCACTCGAGAAAAGACGGCCCTTGTAAGTTTGTTCTTGAGAATAAATAATATAGAGTTCCAGAAGAATGTCAATTAAAGCTACAAGACGTTGGTTGTATGTAATTCTGCTTGAGAATATGTAAGAAACTGCTCTTAGAGGGTTAATGTTAACGCTAAGGTTAGCCAACCTAGTTATTAGCCATGCCCCTTAGCTAGCGAATCAAACAGTATTAGTTGTCAACATTGGGCTTTGACTATTACCTGGAACCGCATACCGTTAATGTTACAAATTAGATACGGCATCCGAGGGCAAACATACAACATAAAAATAACTGTTTTAGTGTATTGTTATCTAGCTATAAATTAAATTATACCTACATTGGCATTTAAGTTAGCTAGCTAGCTGTTACCAACCAAGTTAGCGTAACATTAAAATGCTGATGTGAGGTGACATAACGTTAACCAGTTAACGCTAATTGGTAATTAGATTAACGTTTGTTTGAGTTGGAGAGAAAGCCATTAGCAAGAGTGCTAAATAATTGTTTCAGGATATGAGGCGACATTTTCTTTACGTTAAATCATTAATTTACCTCAGTGAACTGCAGTGTTGGCGTCATTGTAATAGTCATCCAGCATGGCAAATTTCCCCTTTAATCTTAATGAGTTCACATGTGCTTTTACTGTAAACGGTGATTTAAGCTGACGATACAGAGTCTGCCTTTGCATCTTCCAGTGGTGTCCAACAGCTGGTTTACTTCTTTCTCATCTAATTTGCTAAAGTTATGTTGGTCATGAATTTGTAGGTGCAGTATTTGCATTTCACTGAAATCTGGAAATGGGAATGTACATAACATTTAAAACGCTGTCATGCGGGCTGTCCCAGTACACCACAGGCTTGACGTTACTGTGTGGGACCTCATGAAAAAACCCACCCTGTTACAGCCTTCCTGTCTCCGCGGGAGTGTCCTTTACTGGAATATGCACAAGCTTAGTTGCACGTACTAGTGCTTGATGAACAGTAGGAGAGTGATTGATTACTGAAGTTGTTTTTCAAGCTAAAATGGCTTAGAGCTTCTTAAATATTTGGAAATATATGTTGAACATCATTGTAAATGTTAAATATTTGCGTGTTGGACTGTTGATTAGACTAACCGAGCAAATTAAAGACTGCAGTATGTTTCTGTTTGGATGAAAGTGTAATTTTGACTTTGCCATGTATGAATGGATTAATGATTATTTAGAGCTTTTGTGTTGTGTATATATGTGGGCATATCAAATAATCCATATCAAATGATTGTACCATCAGTATTTTTAGGACGGAACTACACAGGCGTACTGGATCAACATCCCGCACCTTGATTGTGATCATAGACGTGTCGCCATTGGTCTTCAGTCAGCATGGGAAAAATTCCACTAAAAGGCAAGGAGTAGTCACTATGCCTGATAAAGACAACGTTCATGACGTTGGAGGTTTCATAGGCAAAATGATCATTTTACATATATGCAAAATGATAAAGCCACATTCTCCCAAAGTCTTGAGGAGAGCTCTAATCAAACACAATAAGTGAAAACATGTGGATATACAATGGGCTTTAAAGGATAAGGCCAGTTATTTTCTATATTATTATTATCTAAAAATCCCCATACCAAGGCTAAATCCAACAATTAATTGCCTCTATTTAAAGGGTTAATGTCTCTCAGTCTGGATTAGTTTACTCATCTGTGCTACAGACAACCTGTTGTTGTCCATAAAAGACTGAGAACACATAAGTGAAATGCACTGCTTCACTGGGTGACATGTTTCATCATTAGAAAAGACAAGTAAGCAAGAGCCAATTATGTGAGCTCTGCTTTGTTTATAGTCTACCAGCTTCTCATGCTTTCACAGAGATCTTGTGCATGCGCAATTGAGTCTTGCTGTTTTAGACACTGTGAAAACCTATGCCTGTTTGGAGGTTTTGGGGCAATAGTTTTAACAACTATGAGGGTTTGTGTTTTGTAAAGAGGAAACACGTCACCCTGTGCAGTGGTGTGTTTCACTGATGTATTTTAATCATTTTTGAACAACGATGGAGGTCTATGGCACAGACCAACAAGCTAATCCAAGTTGGAGACTGACGGACATTAATCATGAGTAGAGGGAGTTCATTGTTGGTCTCTATAAGGATTGTTGAAAACAGTGTTAATATAGAAAACAATCAACCTTATCCTTTATTATGTGACTTTGTTTCATTATGATTGTATTCCAGGGATTACTAAAAATGTTTTATGAATTAACAGTGAATTAGTTGTGACAGTGTTGTTGTTTGACACTAATTCCCATAGAAATACATGGTTACTACCAGCGTTCATATTCTTATAAAGTATGTGATTGCATGTAAATTTGGGGTGGAGCACGATTTGGTTCAATACACGATCTAGGACTTGCCATTGGATACATTCACAGCAACAGTTTTCTTTGTGCATTAACATAAATTACTTGGGAGTCTTGACTTGATATTGCAATCCATTTTTCAGTTCACGTTGCATATTGTCACATTTTTGAATCATGTTATATTGTTCCATGAGGCATTACACCCCTAATGTAAATTTGAAATGTTATTACAAAGTGATTATAATGTTTGATGTGAAAAATACTCATTATTCAAAAAATGTTGGATAAAGTTTTCAAAAAACAAACAAAAAAAGGGTGTTGCCCTGTCTGAAGTGACAGGATTTAATTTGGCCAGAGTAGATTTACACTTTAATGCACTCTTTAAATTTGTATTTTAGACCAAAAAGATGGCAAAAAAGAGAAACCAGGAAGAACAGCTCCGCCGGCAGGTTCAGTTCCCACAACAACAAAAGGTGATTTTTCTTGTTTTGTAAACATTTTGTGATGGTATTTCCCTTGATTTGTGAGTCTTATTGCCGTAGATTACTTTGGTTGACATCTGAAGAGCCTCATAGTTGTTTTATGGTACTGTTACTTGAACCTTTTAAATAACATGCCTGTGTTGTAGAGAGCCACATTTTGCCCAGGTTTGCTCTGTGTGCTACTAGCATTGGAATGACAACAGATTTTCTAAAAAGCTAAAATTCTTGTTTTACCTTTAAAAAAACATGATATTATGAAAATCACTCATCTTGTTGATGCTGGTGGACCAAAGATTTGGAAAGTAACCAGGACTTTGGCTTGTTATTTATAATGTAACCTCACAATTCACTGATTTCTCTTCAGATGTTTTCAGCTGGGAAGAATATCTAAAGGAAACGTCATCTATACCAGCTCCACCAAGCTGTTTCCGTCAGGTATGTCCTTGTGGATTCACTAAATAGTTGTCAGTGGCCATTTACTTGAAGCTAGGCCTAGTTTTACTCTTCAGTGTACATGTAAGGAATTTTTAAGTCATTGGGAAAGAATTTGGAGGCTTTTAGACATGGATAACAGTTTTAATAACAAAGCATATCTATTTGTTTTTTTCAAAAAGTAAATTTTGCTTCGCCCTGCCCACCCAGGGTCATAGTCTAAATTGAAACGGTGTTTTGCCGTTACTGTTGACTCTGTGAGTTTGTGCCAGTAGTACAAACTGGATTTGTGCCGTCACCCAAAGGTTCTGCATTTCTGACTTTGAATGTAACAGCAGCTTCCCTATTGCTGATTGTCACACAGAAGCATACTGCTAGTTTTTCCTGTACAGTTAACATAAGATTTTACAAGGTGACATTTTTGTAATCTTAGCTGGAACTCTGGGTTGATGTAATAATTTGTATAGTGTATTTTAGCAGCCTGACAGCATCAATACTTACAGCATGATTCTGTTGTCCTCAGGCTAGAGTCCCACCATCCAATGACTTCAAGGTGGGAATGAAGCTTGAAGCCCATGACCCGCGCAATTCCACCTCAGTTTGTATTGCCACAGTGATGGGTTTAACAGGGGCTCGTCTGCGTCTCCGTCTGGATGGTAGTGATAACAGCAATGACTTCTGGAGACTGGTCGACTCCTCTGATATCCAGCCTATTGGCACCTGTGAGAAGAATGGAGACATGCTGCAGCCACCACTGGGTAAGAAAGTCAGGAGAGGAGGCATGTTCTCAGTTATTAATGGTAGCAAGGTGATAAAGGAAACATTTTATCTGTATTGCTTAGTTGAGATACTCCACAACACAGAACAAATGACCTACTGTGGCAGATTCTTAAAAAAAACTATCATAAAGTCATTTTCTATGACTACATCCATTTATTGCCTATATCAGCAAAACACAACGACAGGTTTATAAATGTTCAGCAGAAATGGAATAAGAAATAGAAGTCTAATGAAACTGAACTGAAAATAATTGTTAGATTGTATTGTAGAAAATGTTTTATGTGGGAGAGAGAGAACATTTTTCAATAGCCATTAAAATCCATTGTTATTATCAGTATTATTTTGATTTTTTTATGCTGCAGAAGGTAACAGGAATATGGCAGAAATGTTTATATTCTTGTAATAAATCTGGAATAATCAGAATAGCAAGATCGTGACAGATAAGAAAAGTGTGTGTGTATATATAAACAATGAATTTTTGCAAATGTACAAAAAATTCTTTTTCGACTCTGGTAGAGGTTGTAGGCCGCTGTATTTATCTGACAAAAATGATAATAATGCCAGTTTCTTTAGCATTACTGGAAACTACCCAGCACATCACATGGTGTGTTAATAGCAATTAATTTTTTGCCTGAATTGTTTAAGCTAGTTTTTTTTTTTTTTTTTTTTTTTTTTTTTTTTTTTAAATGTGCTTCCCTAGGATTTCGGATGAATGCATCCTCATGGCCTATGTTTCTGCTGAGAACCTTAAATGGAGCAGAGATGGCACCAGCCACAGCCTTTAAAAAAGTATGTTTTGCTTAAAAAACCTCTATTGAACAAACAGTATGGCACCAATTTATTGGCAGTGCATATAATTAAAAGCTGTTGCAATTGCACACATTTTCAGGAACCTCCAAGGCCCCCTCAGAACAGCTTTAAGCCAGGCATGAAGCTGGAAGCTGTGGACAAGAAGAACCCATACCTCATCTGCCCTGCCACCATTGGAGAAGTGAAGGGCGATGAGGTCTTTATTATGTTCGACGGGTGGCGGGGTGCCTTTGATTACTGGTGCAAGTACGACTCCCGGGACATCTTCCCTGTAGGCTGGTGTTCCCTCACGAAGCATAGCCTCCAGCCACCAGGCAACAGCGGTGAGTGTTACCCTGTAGGTGGCAGCACAGGTCCGCAGGGTTGGAGGAAGATGCTGCTTTTTGTAATCAATGCATCCTTCACACTCATTTAGAGGTGGTGGCCTCCCCACAGGCAGGAAATTGCAACCACAGCTAGAAAATATAAACATGATTAGCATTAATCATCTGGTCTTGTTACTTAGTTTGGCAGAGTAAAATACACAGCCTAATCTTTAACAAGCACTAGACACTCACTAAAGGAAAGCATGAATTCAGCCTTTTGATATGTGTGTTCACACATATTTGTACATTTCTGAATGGAAATGTTTCTGTGTTTGAAGGGCATGAACATAGATTTACAGTACATGTAAATGAATGATGCGGTGGTTGTGGTTTGAAAGGTTGTACAGGGGTTTGTCATGACTGCAGCTGGGTTGGTGAAAGGGTGAATTTTTCCATCTCATTCTAAGTGACTGAGAGAAGTGCTGAAAGAAGGACCAGGAATCAAGAGTTCTCATTTCAGGCAGTTTACTGACTCAAGCTTGTTTGAGGTCAACAACATAGACAAATCAACATCAAGTGTACATTCTCTCATGCAGACTGTGCTCTGCAGGTGGTACTTATTGTGGCTCACAGAAACCCAAACTAGGCTTCAGACTGAGCTGCAAAACAGCGTGGATGGACGGCAAGTGAAGAAGTCATGCCTGAAATACCCCTAAATTCTTATGCAAGCATAAGCATGTCAGTCTCCTATCACCTTTCATTGGCTACAGAGTCAGAGTTAATGATGCTGTGAGACATCTTGTGATGCAGTTGAAAAGATCCTGCTCATTTGTCAAACATTGTAAATATACCTGAATAAATGAATGAAGAAGTCACCCAACAGTTGGTTGTTAAATTGCCAGCATCATAAACAAAGGTAGCAAGTATTAGGGGAATCTTCCGAGTTGTCATTGTCACTAGACCTTAAACCAAACCTGATAAGTTATTACTATATGGAAATTGACAGTTTATTTACATGTCCTGCAGAGAGCTGAAACACAAAACTCAATCATGTATTTTCCTTGAAGTAAAACTTCTTTTTCATGTTGTGTCTTTTCACACACAACTTGGTTGTTCTGAATAGATATGGATTTACAGTACCATGTTTTCACAGTCCTCACAGCGGCTCTGCTTAGTAACAAGTTTAATGTGGTGTTTTCAACATGGTCTTCTTGATAAACAGCAGTGACATTGAGAAATTGGAGTGTCATGAGCACGGAGCCAACAGCTGCTAGAGACATGAAGCTCTGCAGATACACTGTGGAGTCCTGCTGGTTTGTCCTCTGTGTTTAGATTGGTGGGAACAGACAGAATTATTATAGAGATGGGAGTGATGGAGCAAGGAGGATTTATGTTCTTCACATCATACTTGTTTACATGGAAAAATATGTTTACATAACAGCTGCTGAGGCCAGACTCTAACATTTGCTCATTCAGGTTTATGTATAAGACTGGTCTTATACACAAGAAGAGAGAAGATTATTAACCACAAAGCACACGACAAACAAAACCAGCTGCTGCTAAACCCCTACTTTACTTTGATCTACTCGTGTATGAGCTCTAACATATTGGGAGGGGCTTTGATAAGCACACATGCTTTTCCTAGCACTCCTTTCTCCCTGTTCCTCCCCATTTAATGCTGATCAGTCTGCACACTCCAGCTCCTCTCTCGCTCTGGTCTTTGTTTTGAGTTTCTCCTGTGTTTTGAAAGAAGGACTTACTATTTGGCTCTGTATTATATAATCCCAAATCCATACAGAAACAAAAAATATTTATGAGCTGAGTAGATGTGCTGCTGCTTTGTGTGGGTATGTGTTAGTGTATTTTTTCCTTTGAGGACACTGACTTACACATTCTCTTTCTGTTCTTGCCGAAGCTTTTTCTGTCATTTGTAGAGAAAAAAAACCCCGTCAGAATACATAGATTTGCAATAAAAAGACTGAAATGATGATTTCTGTTTTTGAAGATTAGATACATTGTACAGACTATATGCTTACACTAAAACAGTGAGGTGGTGTTCAGTATGATTTCTATCGTTTCAGTGTTTATTTTCTGTAGATATGGAATTATATAAATTTACTCAGGTACATTTTCTTTATTATTGGGGGGGATTCTCATTCTTTTTCCTTACTCCACTTGTGAGCTTCTACTTTGTCCATAACATGTTAATCAGCTAGCAGAAAAGTGCACCGTAGTTTTTAAAAAGTAGACAGTTGTAATTCTGCACATTAGAAGTATCTCTAAAACATATGGATTCTAGTCTGTACAAAGCACCACAATGCTGACTAGTTGCTGTTGTAATATGGCTGAAATATTACAGATGCTGTTCTCACCGGAGCGTTAAAGAATGGTCGTACAGAATGTAAAAATTAAAACAAGTAAATGGTATAGTATGACATAAATTAGAGCACTTCCCTGTCCCGTGTTTGAATAATGTGATGCCCATGTCCAAACCCAGGTTGGCACTAGGGCTCGTGAGTACTTTATCTCTAATCCCAGCCACCACCAGCAGCAGTCCATTGCACTGTGTTGGTCACTGGGTGACGAGATAATGACACATAGATTGTCTCTGTTCATTTTATAGTAATTTCTTATTGAGCATGTCACAATGTCGTATTCAGTGTTTGCATTTTTGACAAGGACACATTTTTATTTACTCTTTGTTGTTATTACAGTTAACATGCCAAAAAACCTACAGATTCTCCCAGCGTCACCCTCAAAGCCCAGCAGGCGCTCCTTGCAATCACCATACAGGCTCCCCAACCCCCTGCCCCCTTTGCCTGTGAGGAAGGGGGTAAGAGGCCGTCGGCCCAAGAGTGAGACCATTGCTTTGCTTAAAGCAGTAGCAGAAGCGGCAGCTGCTCAAAATGGAACCATACCAGAAAACACAGAGCTTCTACCCCGGCCCCACAAAAAGAGAGGTCCCAAACCTGGAAGCAAGGTGCGAACCTGCTCAGCAAACTCGACCTGTCATATTTACACATTGCATGAGTTCTTTTCTCTTCTACATCACTTGTCTTAAAAACATGGCTCTGAAAATGAATCTGTTTTTTAGAGAAAGTCCAAGATTCTCCAGAGTCCAGCACCACTACCCAGCATCCAAGTTCCACAAGAAAGCCCTCCCAGCCTCAACTCTGTGGTTTCAACAGGTACGCATTAACTGTTGGTCGCTTCCCATAATTAGTTGTACTTACTACACTGAGTTAAAGCTATTTTTAGAATGTCTAAGGCTCATTGTGCTTCTTGTGTTGTTCCAGTGTGTGTGTATGTGAATAAGCATGGAAACTGTGGTCCCCACCTGGACAGAAAACAGATGCAGCATTTGCCAGACCACTTTGGCCCTGGGCCAGTGAATGCTGTGCTCCAGCAGGTGGTCCAGTCATGTATAGACTGTGCATACCAGCCTAAAGTCCTGCTCAGCGCTCTGCAGACTCATTCAGGAGGAGGAGAGGTTGTCAGAGGTAGCAATACATACACAATACTGGTTATTACAAGTTTTTGTGTTATTGAAGGTATATTAACAATAATAATTGAAATAGTTAAGCATCTGTCTCATTAGGTGGCTGTGCAAGTGGCCAAGCCACTGTCACAGATGAATGAGTACCAGAGTAAAAACAGGACTGGACATTTTCACCAATCTCCTGATGTCAGCAGATTTCAATTAAGTCGAGTCAAGAGTAGATTTGATTCTGTTGTTTACAATACAGTTACATCAGATAAAATAGTGTTGCGCTTCTCAGAAATTATATTTCCTCTACATTCAACAAATAAGCACTACTTGTTTCAGTCAATATAAAATAGTGTAAAGTTCACAATATTGTAAAAACGTCTGCCTATATATACACACACACATTTGACCTTAAAATCACCTTTCTGGGCATGTTGCAATAAGTCAGTTCCACAAAGTAGACACTTGACACATCATGTAGCCCTAATTCAACCACACTCAGCAGGTAACCAGCGTACATGCCCAGGTATTGCATGTGTTTACTGAGAAAAGATGGACCTGCAGAGATTGGAGCTTGGGGTGCAGAATCTGTACTAGATGAAAATGTAATAAAAATAATGCTTAATCAGAAATTTGTTTTTATCCAGCCTTAGTAATAAAACTTGTCTCTCATCCCAGTGAGAACAGATGGTGGAGTTCGTGCAGTCAAACTACCTTCAGCCTCCAGTGCTTCCTTTGTGTTGCGCTTCTTGGAGACTATGTGTCATCACCTGCAGTGTGACAACCTGTTCAGCAGCCAGCCGTTCAGCCACTACACTGCTTATGACAGGACCAAGTCAGGTAAATATTGTATTTTCAGCAGGTATATCATCTCTGCTTCCTCAGGAAAAAGACTGTCCCAGGAAACTTGGAAGTAAACAGACATACACTGTCCCAGTCTATAAATAAACTATAAATTCCAACAGTTTTCTTAAAGAAAATTGTTTATCTACACAGAAACTGTGGTTTGAATGCTCTGATTGTTCCTGTGTAGCCTAATTTGTGTCCTGTATTGGGAGGTAAAGAACATGGTAGTCCTTGTTTTGTTCTGTAGTGTGTATGCAACACTGTTCTGTTAATAATCAGTTGCTCCTTGTTTTGTGTTCCAGTGAAAGAAGAGGTGCTAGACACTCCATCTCTGGTTCGGGGTAGTAAACGGAGTCTCTCTGGAGTCTCCCCATTGTATGCTGCCCCTCTGTCTCCTAAACATCTACGCACCGAAGCCCACCCTTCAGAAGGTACAGCTCCATATGCACACCTTTTTATACTCACATAATTTCTCATCTCAATTTCCTCCTTATTTTTATTTTATGATTATTTTGGATTATCGCGTTCATAAAATAACTGCAAAAACCACACATCTACCCGAGTCATTTTATTTTTTCAACAGTTGTGCTGTTGAGAGTGTGTCCACAAGCACACAGCACCAGGCCCATATCTCTGTGCACCAGTGGAGGAATATCTTAAAACAACCTTAGACTTGTTATGGGCTACTTGTGTTCATCTTGTCAGGCGTATTAATTTACGGGGAGTTTTTGACACTTGATGGGCTGTGGAGGCCCAGAGAGATGTAGTAGTAAAGGTCTCCACCCTCCTGACTACTGCTGCACCTGTTCTCTCTCTCTCTCCTGTGCTCCATGCTGTTCTCTCTCCTTCCTTCCTTTCCCCTTTTGCCTGCACTTAGTTACCAAATATTTACACATAACATCCCAAAGAAACATGCTGTTATTAACTTGAAATGCAACTTCCTTGCATCCCTACTTTGTCAGTTTGGCCTGAGTTTGTATCTTTTTGAAATTGGCACCCCATATGATAAGGATATTGATAAAACCATGTTTATTAGCTTGATTAGTTCACTTTTGGCTGGTTGGTGGTCAAGCACCACCACATTTCCTACTTACTGTTACTACTTACTATTACTGTGTAATATAATAAACAGTTTTTTCCTAATTCACTTCTGTGTGTATTGTGTGGATACAGTCTGCCCAGCTGACTGCTCAGTGCTACTGCCAGCAAGGTGTGATGATGCTATAATGGCCATCTAAAAGGTCAACATGCTACACATTTTTTAAGGTTGATTTTAGCTCTACTGTGATTGAAATGATTATTTAAGACATTTAGTTTGTATTAAATACAGGGTATATTCCAAAGCATAGGAAGGCAGCATGAGTCATGTCTTTTCATCAGGTCCAGAATTGATGAATAATGAGATGTTGCTGAACTTGATTTATTTGATTTGATTTATTCTTTCAAGCATGTAAAGACAGTTGATATGTCAACACGCATAATTTTACACATATCCAACAAATGCTAATCCAATATCAATTTGCTTATACCTAATACATGCTTGAATGGAGTAGAAAGAAGTCAGACTTATCCAGTCCTACCCCATGAATACAGCAGACAAGAAGGATCTAATGGTACTTACTGATCTCTGGTCAGGTTCAGGTGATGAGCCCTTCTCTGCAATTCTTCTCCTGTAAGACAGAGTCCAGAATTATTTCTGAAAAACAGTTGCTATTTTTAAAAACATATCATCATGTTTAATGTTAATATCATAAAGCACAGACCACACAATTCCTCCTGAACTCCACATTTTTAAAACCTAAATTCCTTAGATTTCTCTAGATCTTACAGTGATACTTCTCTGTCAGCAACAAAGTGCATTTAAATTACGATTTTACTACATATCATCTCATAATACTGAGGAATAGTGAGAGTGATGAGTACATGAACTTATTCTTCAGGTGGCACAACAAAATCCATTGCGACCAACATTGGGGTTTGCTAAATCTACTGTATGGCAACTGTGTCAAGTTTCACTTTTCTGTAGTATATGAAACAAGATCTGAAATTCATTCATATGACTCAAGTGCCTATTTTGAGACGTACTGAATCGAAGAGTAATATATGATGTGTCGCTACCTCCTTGCTAACAGGGCACTCATCTCCTCCATGAGCCCTCCTCCTCCAGGCAGAGGGCCGTTGCCTCTGGCTTCAGATTTGGCCCCTCCAGCCCCTGGCATGGCTGCTGCCAGAGCGGCCGCCGCCT